GATCCCCCCCCCCCCGCCGCCAGTGCACAAATTTTTGTGCACCGGGCCTCTAGTATTTAAATAAACTATTATAAAGGCAGAATGTGTCCTTGCATCAGTTATTTTATATGCCAGAAAGAAGCACCGAAAAAGGCAGGAGGACATTGGTTTCAGGGATGAAGGCATGTATGGAAACATCAAAAGTATACATTTTAAAAAAGGTACATTTTAGCCCTACACAGTTTGGCTCAGTGGATCGTGTCAGCCTGGGTACTAAAGGGACAGGGTTTTGATTCAAGGGCACACACTTGGTTGCAGGTTTGATTCCTGGACTCAGTGAGGGTGTTTGCAAGATGCAACCAATAGATGCGTCTCTCTCACACCTGTTCCTCTCTCTGTGTCTCTCTTCCTCACTTCCAATCTCTCTAAAATATCAATTAAAAAATAACCTGAAGTGAGAAAACTGTACATTTAATTTGTTGCTACTGTCTCACTCTGGTAAAAATAAAATATAATGACTTGCTACTGAAATATCATGTCCATGTTCAATGCCATCATTTTGGCAGTTTGAAACTGATGATGTGGAGAGTATTTACACCGGAGATATTGATAAATACTACAAACAAGACTTCACTTAATGTATTATTGAATGCTGAGACTTAAAAAAGTGGTGGAGAATATTAGCAATGCATATAAAACTTATAAGTGTATGGTACAAGTGAGCTTTAAATTGTACATAAGATAAAAATGGAGAGAAACAATTTTCCTTCTGGTATTCAAAACCTATAATTCTAGCGAAGAAACCACTTGAGTCATTGAGGAGTGAGTGAATTTCAAACATATATCTTAGATGCTGCACTATATTCCTATTGGTTAAAATAATAAATTCATTTAAAAAATGGGCAAGAGATTCTGAGCAGACATTTTAACAAATAAATTAAAGACATTGTAAATAAATGAATAATAAATATTCACCACACCCTAGATGGTTTAGGTCAGTGGTTGGAGCATCAGCTCCAACTGAAGGGTCCTGGGTCCAATTCCAGTCCAGAGCATGAACCTCGGTTACAGGCACCGTATCTGCCCTGATTAGGGTGCCTGCAGGGGGCAACCAAACGATGTGTCTTTCTCACATTGATATTTCTCTCTTTCTGCCTCTCTTTCTCCCTTTCACTTTGGCTACTGGTTGACCAGTATGGGCCCTAAATATCAATGGAAAAAATATCCTCTGGTGAGGATTAACAAAAAAGAAAAATGTTCACCATCAAAAATTCTTAGGGAAATGCAACTAAATGAAATCCAGCTAACACTAGACTCATTTCCAGGGATACTATTTAAAAATATTAACCATTGCATGTGCTGGCAGGGTTGCGGAAAAACTGGAATTTTCATTGCTCTGGGTGGGAAGTCAAAAGGAATGACCATTTTAGACCACAGTTCTGCATATCTTAAAGTGTAAAACATTCACCTACACTGCAACAGTTTAAGTAAAACATATATGAATATAAAGAACTGAACACAAATATTCTCATGATATTTATTATAATACTCCAACCCTGGAGATAACCCAAATCATAGACAGATCAATAGATAAAGTGGTTATCCCTAGAAAACAATATTACTTAGCAATACAAAATTAAATATTCACATAAGCATTAATGTTGAATTTCAAAATAACTGTGTGGCATGAAGGAAACAAATATTTGTTAGAGAGTATAAACTTATTTTGCCTATAAAATTATGAAAAATATGAAGTAATCTATTGTAAGGAAAGGAAAATTAATGACTGAATGGAGGGCTGGGGAAGGAAAAAAGAGAGATTATAAAAGGGCAAGAGGTAGATACAGGGTGTGGCAAAAGTAGGTTTAGAGTTGTCAGTCTGGAAAATAATACAACAATCCTATCTAATAATAAAATAGTAATATGCAAATTAACTGTCATACCCTCACTCCCTCACTCTGTCACAAAGATGACAGTGGCCACGGAGCTGGAGTGAGCAGGAGGCTTGAGTTGCCCCAGTGATGGAGAAAGCCAAGCTTCTCACCTGCCCTGCCGGCCCTGAGCTCCACTCAAGGCTACAAAGTTTCAATTATAGAAGATAAATAAATCCCAGGTACCTGCTTCCAGCCTACGGCCATGGCCGGCCTGAAAACGGCCATCAGCCCCTCAACCAGGCTGGCCAGGCACCCCTGTGGGACCCCCCCCCCACACACACACACCCTGAAGGGGCTGTGGCCAGCCTGAAAACGGCCCACAGTCCCTCACCCAGGCTGGCCAGGCCCTCCAGCGGGATCCCCACCCTGATCCAGGACACCCTTCAGGCCAAACCAGGCAGCCCCCACCCGTGCACCAGGCCTTTATCCTATATAATGAAAGGGTAACATGCAAATTGACCCTAACAGCAGAACGCCTGGGAATGACTGGTCACTATGACCCTCTGACCACCATGGGGCAGACGCTCAATGCAGGAGCTGCCCCCTGGTGGTCAGTGTGTCCCCACAGGGGGAGCTCTGCTCAGCCACAAGCCAGGCTGCCGGCTGCCAGCACAACAGTGAGGGCGGGAGCCTCTCCTGCCTCCTCAGCAGCACTAAGGATGTCCAACTGCAGCTTAGGCCTGGTCCCCGCCGGCAAGTGGACATCCCCCGAGGGCTCCTGGGCTGCCAGAGGGATGTCTGACTGCCAGCTTAGGCCCGATCCCCCGGGGAGCGGGCCTAAGCCAGCAGGTGGACATCCCCTGAGGGTCCCAGACTGCGAGAGGGCACAGGCCAGGCTGAGGGACCCCCCCACCCCCAGACTGCACAAATTTTTGTGCCACGGGCCTCTAGTAATTAAATAATAATACAAGTATAAACTTTGCTCTGGCTAGTGTGGTTTAGTTGGTTGGGTGAAGTTCCTTGCATTGAAAGGTCATTGGTTCCATTCCAGACCAGGGAACATGCCCAGTTGTATCCCCACTAGGGGGCATGCAGAAGATAGCACATAGAAGTTTCTCTTTCTCTCTCTCTCAAAATTTAATAAAAATACATTTTGAAATATATAAAATACTTATTTAAAAAATGGAATAAACTCTGTGTTTTGGGTACTCACACTGTAAGCCTGCTTTTGCCCCACCCTGTATATGGGTGACAGAGAAACATATTTCACATGTGACAGTTTCACAGCTTTATCTGAATGTTAAAGCTCACCAAATACTACACTTTAGAAAAGTACATTTTCTTGCATGTCAGTTATAAATATCTATATATATAAAAACCCAGTGACCGAATGGCAGAATGACCAGAATGACCAGATGACCAGTCACTATGACGCATTGAAAACCAGGGGCAGAACTCAACGCACGAGCTGCCCCCTGGTGGTCAGTGTGCTCCCACAATGGGAGCATCGTTCGGCTGACC